GGTTACGGAATGAATTAATATGTGAATGAATCATTATCTTAATTTTTTCCGATTGTTTTGTTTTTGAAATTAGTGGGTTTCAATTACTGTCGAAATAACGTAGCGAAGTTTCGTAGGATGAACAAATGTCAAGCGAAGTTGATTATGCGAGATTATCATCTGAAAATCGTGAACTGAAGGCGCAAAACGAACGACTGGATAATGAATTGAATTCCCTCAAAGATCGAGTTTGTTTTCATCGTTTTTACGTCATTAGCATCAAAATTTTGCTGCAGAAATTCCTAAAGATCAATCCTAATGTCATAAAACAGTTTATCGTTGCTTCATGTTTATTTTGTTCTTTTTTGAATTATTCTGACTAACGAATTAATGAAACTATCTCAGTCAAGTAGTTAATTTCGCTTTGGTGAGGTAATGAGGAGGATTTAATCACACATCACTGGGTAGTTTATTGAACTGCTATTTCCAATGAATACATGTAAATAAAATGGTCTCTTTAGAGTATAATTCTTTCAGTTGTTTGTATTAGAAAAAGAAAAATTGGACAATGAAATCGAAGTGTCGGAAGCAAAGCAACGGAAGTATGTTTACCTCGTTTCTTTCTCAATTTTTATTTATACTTTTAAAAGGATGGCGACATTTCAAGACTATCTTTCATGACATATTGTTCGATCGTCATATTATGATTCGATGTTTTAGTTGAATCGTCTGTTGAATCGATTCATATTCTGTGCATTTGTTTTTTGTCATAAAGTAGAACAGTATTTGATTCTAACCTTAAAAAAGGAACATCACGGTTCACAAGGATCACTTTTAGAAAGTGGATGAAATATTCTTTGCAGTGCTCTATTCATGGATCTGGACGAAGATTGGAAGAAAAAAGAAACCGGTTTTATTGAAAGGATTAAACAGTTGGAAATTTCGCTCGCTAAAACCGACGCCGAAAAGTTCGACGACCTTCACAATGAGGTAAAATATCATGAGATCTCAGTTTGAACTTTTGAAAATTGGTCCAGAGTCAGTTTCTTGGAAATAGAACGTTGAATATCTTAATGGTAATCAGAGAATCAAGATAAATTCGGTTATTCTTTTGTACAATTGCGAATGAAGCACTTTTCAGATAGCATTTCTTAATTCAATAATTGCATCGAAACAAAAAGAAGTGAAAG